AGAGATTCGATCTAATCCTCCTGGATCCGCCATGGGTGAATAGATCTGTGCGACGCAGCGGACATTACCATACACAGCACTACCTCGAGGGGGATCTACTGACCCAGCGTATTCGAGATATACTCAAGGTGCACTTACAAGACAGTCATCGCATCTTCCGTTATGACACTTCTAATGACCGTACATCGATGCCAAAGCCGACCGAGCAGCAAACCCAGAGCTGTATCGCAGCCATATGGATTACCAACTCAGCAAAAGCGCGGAAAATAGCCTTTGACGCTATCCAAGGCGCGGGTCTTTCCGTTTGCGAGGAATGGATCTGGATCAAGACCACTACAAAAGGGGATCCTATCACGCCGCTAGATGGCCTCTGGCGGAAACCTTATGAAGTTCTGATCATAGGAATGAGGAGACACCTCCAACAACAAGCTAATTCGCCGGGGAAAAGAGGGGATGGCGTCATCACTAGGAGGTTCATTGCCGGTGTTCCAGACGTGCATTCCAGGAAGCCGAATCTAAAGGAGGTTTTTGAGAAGGTGTTCTTTGCCGATGCTTCTCCTTCTCCTATGTCGGAAGATCGTACGGCTTATTCCGCTTTGGAGGTATTTGCACGCAATTTGACTGCCGGTTGGTGGGCCTGTGGAGATGAAGCTCTGAAGTTCAACTCGAAGGAATGGTGGGTTCACGGAAATGGTATGAGCTTGAGTTGATCTGTATTGGTTTATAACGTATATTTAGATACCCAAGTTCATTCCTTGATATCTCTTTTATACATAAGATGATATAGAGCCGTAAGTGACTCCTATCATTACATACGTTGATACTACATCCACCGTAGATACCTGGCCAATATCTTCACATGAGCCACTAGAGCCTGAGCAAACCCAGCATATGCAAACTCCCAAACACCTATTCGAATATGTATACACAAACTAAAAGATAAAGCAACATGCCCCTTAATCAAAAACAGGCCCCAAGCTGACCAAGCTGAACCTCAAGTCCGGGTTACCACCCTGAGCCTCAGTCTTCAAGAACCTCCTAACTCCCAAGTTAAGCGCTTTCTCGCTCAATGCATCCTCATTCTTATCCAACTTTCCCCTTTCCAACGGGCCCTTCCTCCTCCCATCCAGCTCCCACAACCTTCCATCAATTCCTTTCACAAAGGCCACAAAGTGCAAGTCAACGGAATCCTCGGCCTGGGGCGCCGTAGTATCACCTAACTTCGCCGCATCAGCATGCGCACTCTCCAGCGCCTTGCTCTCATATAAGAGATTCGCTCTGTCAACAGGACCAAGAGGCTCCGCCTCCCGCAAAAGACCATCAAGATCCGATCCAGGAAGAACCTGTTTCCGAGCCTCTCCATTGGACACAGCATGCAGCAATCCGATCAACCCGCAAGCGTTCCGGATCGTCTGTTTGAACCACATGACCGGTTCTGAGGGTCCGGAGCCAGTGTAGTCGGTGAGTTGGCTATCTTCGGACACGCGGGATGACTCGTAGGTTTTAGAGACGGGGAAGACGAGGAGGAGGGCGTGCGAAGGACGGGGGACGAAGGCTAGGAGGTCTGGGTCGTCGATTGAGTATACGTCTGTAAAGCCTAGGGTCGGTGGGAGACCGAGTTGGTGGACTAAGTGCGACATCACTTCTGGGTTGTTTTCTGCGTCCATTGGGTCAGTTGGTGTCCTCTTCCCTTCTCCGCTGGATTGGAGTATTGTATACCGAGGGGCACGAAGGCCTTGTTAGTTTCTGGGACATCGACATGGTCTGTCATCTTGCTTATCGGTTCTTTTTTCGGATGTATTGACACGGGGTTTTGAGGTAAAATGGTAGGTTCTGAGGCCAAAGTGGAGTAGGTTGGTGAAATGATGTTAGTGAGGGGTTAGAATTGGTCTGCGGGGTCACTCAGCTAAATATACTAATCGGGGTTTCCGCCTTCCATGTAGTGACATGTGATGGCTTTACCAATATAGAGGCCTTATGGGCCAGGCTATCAAATTTTGTTATTTTGGGTTACTCTGTAAGTAATCCATGCAGATAATTTCGTGGTAATAGGTCTCTGTCATAAGTTCATCTCGTTCATAACCATGTCTATGGTCTACTTGTCTATAGCTAAACGCTGTCCTAGTTCTGCAAGGGCTTCACCCCCCGTTTCAACGGTTCGTAGATATTGGTCCACAACTCACTGGCCTCTCCAAGGAAATAAGACAAGGTGACATCGGCCATACTAGCTTCCTCGTTGCCAGAGATAGTCTCCAATTGGGAAATAATGTTCTCCAGCCCAAAAGCTTTGCCCGTCGCCTGTGTAGCGCCAGCTTCCAGCATGACATTAACAATGTGAACGTGGAAGTGATAATATGTCGGTTGATCTGATGACTGTCAATTTTTGTTCCCTCAAGATGCCTACATGATGCCACTTACAGTGCACGTAAAGCTTGAGCTGATCCTGGTCCAAATCCGGATACATATTCGCCGTACCCTCTAGCAACCGCTGACGCAGATACTTCAACCAAGGGATATGTTTCTTTTTCAAATCACGTAAGCTCCAGATATCCCTCCGCTGCACGAGAGCCAGCAAATGCAACGAGCCCATCGTTTTCCGATCCCAGTTAAGATCCGGAAGCATCAGGAACCCATCCTCGGGACCGTGGCCCTGATCCCGAAGAATAACATCTTCCTGTTCCGTTCGGCCCTCAAGAATGTTAAATACCCAGTTCAATCGGCCCTCTTCCCGCTTGGCACTCATATACGGCCGGATATAGTCGCGGTAAATTTCAGGTGTTTCGGTTACCATGCGTAGCACCTGATCGGAGTACTTCTTGATATGCTGCTCGGTGCATGGCCAGATAAGGTTCAGTTTGAGGTCAGCAGATTGATGGCCCTCACTGTCTACACCTGATGATGCCAGGTACCAGCGGTAGATATCATTATCACCCAGGTTGTTTACACGGGTGATTGCTGAGTGGAACGCTTTCAATACCTCGAGGGATTCGGTGGCAAAGGCCGCTCGTTCAGCTATAAGAATGCCTTGCTTCCCTTCGATTGTTCCCAGGAGAGCGATACGACGGCCACTTTGATCTATGTATAACTTTCTTAGTTACTAAGGTCTTGACAACAGCGGTTTGGGCTAAGAGCCTGTTATAATAGTTCAAGGGGTTCCAACCTTGTCTGAGCAGCCTTTCGATCTCAAATTTTGAGATCAGTGCCTCAGGCGCCACTTTAGTGTCGTTGCTGGCTTGCATTCTTGTGTGGGGTATTAAAAAGTTGAAGGTTGACCTCGACTAAATTTACCCCGTATCTTGAAAATGTGCCGGCAGAATCGTTGGGCGGTCAATAGTTATCAGTGTTATCGATACTGTTGTTGACTTCTCTATGTAACTCTTTAAGCAGAAGGGCGCTAGTCAGGATTGAACTGGGAAATCCAAGCGTTGATCTTGAAAAGCATGGTTTGTAATTTGTCTACATGAAAAAAGCAGTGCAATCGCTTTGGGCAATGCATGTAGCTCCTAGGCAGCACGTCATAATAAAATGAAGCCGCACACTGCAAAGCAAGGAACCCAGCCGCCAGTATGTGTTTATATGCGTAGAAATTGGATGGAGGCATATACTTCTAGTCAAAATGAAGTCGTTATGAACCTCATAAGCAATATCGCGGGTATTTCACCACTGATAGATGCATCGAGCACCATTCACCATAGTTCACTGTGATGAAATGAGTATGTCAATGCACAGCAGCTCGCCAACGTCTCAAAGTGCGGCCGCATCTTGTCAGGCGCGCTGCAATTTCCCTAGGGGAGTGTATTCGGTGAACACATAGATCGTGCTCAACAGGAAAACGCTTATGTACCAAGATGGTTTCGTCGCGTAGTATGTCCACAGAAAATCCAGGCGCCGAGTTCATGAGGATTTCTTTTCGTCACTAGACTGGCAATGCATCTACTCAAGATTAGCCCTCGAACACGCACACACAAACATACACACAAAAACTGAAACAGAGAGAGAGGAGAAGAAGATATTAACTCACCGCTTCAGCTAATTTCAGCCACTCTTCAACTCCCTTGACGAAGGAGTCATCCGCCGCAGGTGTCAGTTCATGACCCCATACTACATATTCATCGAAAGTAGCTTGCTTCTCCAGGATCTTGACTGGTTCGTCCTGTTCTGTTTCCTCGCTGATCGTAGAGTTTGCGTTGCTTTGGGTCGATGGCATCACACGCTCTGTTGGCAGCGCAACAACCCCTGAGTTGGATTGTTAAAGCCTGCAGGATTTACAACAGTCAGAAGTGATTGTTTACCTTGATAGCCCTCTGGAATCTGAACGCGTCGGCCTCGCAGTTTACGGCCGCGGAAGTAGGCAGTTTGTACATTCGAATCTGCGCCAATAAGTATTTTGGGACCCGAATGCTATTGGGAGTGCTGACCTTTTCCATCAGATTCGGGCTTCCAGTAGCGGCCCAGGGATCCAACGGGACCATCATGATGAATTCGACAAGGAAGGATATTGGGAGTAACGTTCTCTGTTTTATTCGCGTCTTCTGATCCTGAGGACTGTTGCTGGGGTTGGATAGCGAACATGTTGGGTTTAATTGTAAATTTCAATTGACTAGTGCAAAAAAGAAGTAATTGAGCCGAATATAAGGAAGTTAGCTAGTATCTTGTAAAGCCACGATGTTGTTCTATGAGCTGGGTGATGGATAAGAATAAATTAGAGCACGCGTCGCGTTCTCCGCGTAAAGTGATTTAAATGCCGTTTAGAGCGGAAATTTCCGACCCCAGAGCATCGACGGATCAGTAATATGAGCATTGCGTTCTTTCAGATCTCAATTTCAGAATACATCGATAAAGGTCAAAGTCCAAAATGCTTGTAATATAATGATTTCAATTCTATATGCTTGCTCGAGATACAGTATGCAACCCGGAAAACTATAATCACAATAGTCGGACTGGATGATTTCAAACGCCATGAAATTTGGGTATAATAGACAAGCTTGGATATAACTTAATCACCTCTTGCGCGTCTTCTTCTTCTTCTTCTTCTTTTTCTTCTGGTCGTCTCCATTCTCCTTCTCAACCACCACTCGTACCGGCCATTTCTTCAGGTGTTCCTTCTCGAATTCATCTTTATCTCGCCGGTATAGAAGCATTGTAGCTTTTGCATCCTCCACACTAGAATGAGCGCCGCTCTGAATATCCAGACCTAAAAATTCTGAAGCCAACATTTTCAAACGGGGAGAACCGCCCCCGGCAATCTTCCGATATGGTGGGTGTTTGCTAGTGTCTCTAATGTCGCGCTTGGGATGGCTTAGAAGAAGTGCATCCAGGTCATTCCGCAAGGCATGCCCAACGAGTATTCGCCCATCCATAAGCTCGGCAACATCTTTTTGAACTTGTTCAAGGGACCGGGCTTCCACCATATGCTTCGGGAGTATGCCGCTCACATGCGTTCGCCAATCCGTGACCATTTCTTTCGGACGTACAAAGGAGTCATACACTTGTTCACCGTTGAAGTTGACGATACTGACACGCGCAAGGGCCGAGTCGTTATCGGGGTTAGGGCCGACTCCCACCATCTCACAGTCCATCGCAACATATTTACCTAGTTCAGCACTAGCACAGGATTAGCAAAGACTTGAAACATGAGATATGGCAGGAAGACAGCAGAGATACTGACGTCGGTGATCGGCCCTCATTGACCTTTGCAATCTTCACTTCAGGTCGCGGCGCAATCGAGGCGGTAGAATTCTTCCGGGAGATGGATTTCACAGCGGCTTCCTGGACGACATCCTTGCCTCCATCAGCAGCGCTGTCGGCCATTCTCTTCCTCTTTTTCGATACACGAGATTGTTCAAGTTTGGTTTTCCCTTCGACTGTCTCCGTTTTTCGCTTCTTTAACACACCATTTTGGCCTTCCCGATCAGATGTCTTGCGTTTTGTAGAGCTGGACGTGGGATTCTGTTTCAGCGTCTCCTGGAGTTTCTTCCAATTGCTGGAAAGGTTTTTAACATCCATTCCAATGGTCAGGTGGGTCTTATTGCATTGTGTTCTGATTCTGGATATGCGATGTGAAGAGACAAGAAAGATATTTGATGCGCAGGAGCAGCTTTCCAGAATCGACGATAAATCCGATAAATTGCGCTAAAGTTAAAATTTCAGACGGCCCACTCGGGAGTCTCGAACACTTCCATTCCTCTGTGCTTTTACCTAGCTGGCCACAGCTTCCGTACATGTACTGAGCTTATACGGAGTAGGCCTTTATTTACTGCCTTGTGACAGGGATTATAGAGATGGATCATTTCAATAACTATAGAAAAACTTCAGTTTATACAATATAAGGAGCTTTACTGTCCGATGCGGGGTATTGGAAAGCATAAGAACTTTTTATATCCAACAACGCCTCATTATACAATAGAAGTCTATGTGAAAAGAAATCACCATGACAACAAAAAGGGAATCTATTTACAGGCCTGGAACCTTGAAATCCTTGTAACCCCATTTCTCCGTCAACTTTCTCTTTGCCTTCTTGGGTTGTGAAACCGGCTTTCGAGATTCCAACTTTCCTTGAACGATTAACGTCCGGAATCGGTCATCGAGCAGATTTCCCTCTGGCTTAAGCAAGCGCAGTGAGTCCTGCAGCTCGTCTGGTAGGACAACCTCCAACTTTTGGTCGGGTGCACTGGTTTGAGGTCAGTAAATAAATAAGATACAAGTAGGACTGGGGAAACATACTATGTCCTTCCACCCAAGGGCTTTCGCCGCAAAACAGTATCATCACCTTCTCCCTCAGAGTCGGACGACTCGGCGCGCTCAAGCGCCTGCTGTTCCAATTTCTCCGCAAGAGATTTTGCCAGCTCAACCTGGTCTTCCTTCTTCTTCATCTGTGCCTCCCATTTTGCTTGCCTCTCAGCCTCCTTACGTCGGTTGATCTTGTTTCTTTGCGCTTTCGTCTTTCTCTCTGGACGCTTCTTCTTCAGCCAATCCGGGGTCTCGTACTCGCTTTCAAAACCTTCCCAGGCACTTTCATCGTCCGACTTAACCTCGCCGTCGTCATCCTTGGCCTCGGCAATCAGACGCTGTCTTTCTTCTTCCTTACGTTCCTCCTCCAGGCGTTTTTTCTCTGCCTCTACCTCCTTGGCTCCTTGTTCCTGTAGAAGACTATCCCAGTCCTCAAAGGTGGGATTATAACTTGTACCAGCGTTCGGTGTGCGGACAGCAGGAATCGCTTTTCCATTTGCAGCAAGTGAAATCGGGGATTCCTTTAGCGTTACAGGCGCAACCTTCGGCTTCGGCTTCTCCAGGAAATCAAATTGTGGATCCTCCACAGGTGTTGGGTCTTCAGCATCCACCCATGGATCATAGAATTCACCTTCCGTGACCTTTTTGGTGGGCTTGCCCTCTTTAGCGACCTGTTTTAAGCGTAGCCAATCCTTGCGGGTAACCCAGTCGCTCTTGTGTTTCTTAGTCTTCGGTTCGAGAACACCATCTGTCACTTTGGAGTTGTTGCGTTTGCGAGTGTCTACTGCTGGGATGACCGACCGCTGAGCAATGATTTCTTCTGATTTCAACGGCTTGTGCTGTTTCTCGAATGCTTTGCGAATTTCTGTTGAACCAGTGGTATCGAAGGTGAACAGCTCTTCAGACGGCTTCTCTGCCAGGACACCACTGTAATATGGAATCAGCTTTTAGGAACATTGAGGGAAAGAGATTAAGGTCATATTTACCCTTTGATCTCCTCATCTTTCAACAACCGGAGACCTTCTTGAACCTCCGTCACATCCACATTCTTACGCCACGCCTTTTTGCCCTTACGGGAAGGTTGGCTAAATTGTTTGGGAGCATCTGTGGAAGGAGACATGTTGTAAACCTTACCAGCTAGATTGCAATATTGAACTGTAAGGTGAGAGTCTTTTTCTTTCCCTTTTTTCTTTAGCGCTAGTAGATAATCGGAATTATTTGCGACCAAAAATCTGGACCCGCTTACCTAATACCGTATCGCGGGGCGATTAAATTACATGCTAGTGCGTCTGCCGCGCTAAAGCTCTTCGCGGCTATCGCGGGCAAGTTGAACGCTATTCAAGACTGACTTCTCAGCGACGTGCTTTTCGCCCACGTCGGTTTATCATCGGCACTGATTACTCTAGCCACTAGCCCTGGGGGCTCAGTTCAAGCCATTATTTCTAATCTCGCATACCGATACTTCTATTTGGCCTGATTGGTCTGAAGACGGCTGCTGAATTTCAACAGCCATGCCGGTGGTCAAAGGAGGTGTCTGGTAAGAGCTCTTGCGACTTGCGATATGCTTAGTGATCAAAGTCTCACATTTATTTAGGACAAATATTGAAGATGAGGTGCTTCGAGCGGCGGTAAGTTAATATGCGCGCGAGACGAATACAAGGAAGAATGCCGTGTTGCGATCGGACGGTCACTAATAATTGTCATTCTACAGGTGTCCAAGTATGGTCTCAACCAGTGGGCGCGAGTATCCTCGCTGCTAGCTAGAAAAACCCCCAAGCAATGCAAGGCTCGATGGGTGGAGTGGCTGGATCCCGGCATCCGGAAGGTCGAGTGGTCGAGGGAGGAGGATGAGAAGCTACTACATTTGGCCAAGTTGATGCCCACTCAGTGGCGTACTATTGCACCGATTGTTGGACGCACAGCTACTCAATGCCTCGAGCGCTACCAGAAATTGTTGGACGAGGCGGAAGCTCGTGAAAACGATGAGCTTGGTCTAGGCGGTCCTGAGGGTGGGGAGACCGCTGCACCAAGTGCAGACGATGTGAGACGGCTACGGTATGCTAATATATACTTATGTTATGGGTTTTTTTTTATTTAATTTTTTTTTTTTTTCGCTAACTTTAACTAGCCCTGGCGAATTAGATCCCGACCCCGAATCGAAGCCCGCTCGCCCAGATACAATTGACCTTGACGAAGATGAGAAGGAGATGCTGAGTGAAGCTAGAGCTCGTCTGGCGAACACACAAGGAAAGAAAGCAAAGAGAAAGGCTAGGGAACGACAACTGGAAGAATCTCGGAGACTTGCTGTGCTTCAGAAGCGTCGTGAACTCAAGAATGCTGGTATCAACATCAAGGTTGTCACCCGGAAGAAGGGTGAGATGGATTACAATGCCGATATCCCATTCGAAAAGCCGGCAGCCCCCGGTTTCTACGATACAATGGAGGAAGAAGCCAGGAATGAGAGGCAGCGCGAAATGTTCGACCCCCGTAAGCAACAGCTTGCCAACAAGCGCAAAGGAGACCAAGACGAGGAGGCGGAGCGCAAGAAGAGGAAAAATGATAAGAACAGCAACTCTGCTGCTTCTGCAGCAGCAGCAAGGGCTGGTCAAATGCAGAAGATCCGCGAGGCGGAGCAGAGTAGCAAAAGAAGAGCTCTTGTCCTACCAAGCCCTCAGGTCAGTGAAAGTGAGATGGAGGATATCATCAAGATGGGTATGGCAGGTGATAAGGCCAGCAAAATGGCTGGTGATGAAGAAATGACACGAGGCTTGCTTGGAAATTATTCGGCAATTGTTGGCGGGACACCGATCAGGACCCCTCGCGCTGCGCCGGAGGAAGATCATATCGCCAATGAGATTAAGAACATCAGAGCCCTTACTGAAACCCAGTCGTCATTGCTGGGAGGCGAGAACACACCTTTGCACGAGGGAGGATCTTCTACTGGCTTTGATGGTATTGCACCACGGCGCCAGGAGATTGTCACACCGAACCCTATGGCCACGCCTTTCCGACAGGCCAATGGTGGTGTCGGTGCGACACCTATGCGAGGAGGTGTTGGTCCGGGAGCGACTCCTTTGCGAACCCCCCGTGACCATTTCTCCTTGAATCAGATGGAAGGGGGACAGCTTGTTGGGAGTACTCCGAAGGAGATCAAGATGCACGAGAATTTTATGCGCCAAAGCATCCGCAGCAAGCTTTCCGCGCTGCCAAAACCAAAAGAAACCGAATGGGAACTGGAGGAACTTCCTTCAGAGTCTGCAGAGCCAACCGTTAGCGAGGAGTATGTGGAAGAGGACATGGCAGAGCGAGATAGGAGGGAAAGAGAGGCGCGAGAGAAGGCAGCTCAGGCTGAATTAAAGCGTCAATCACAAGTCTATCAGCGATCACTCCCCCGTCCAAGTGTTCTAGATATAGACGCGCTGGTTGAACGTGCGTCACAAGTGACGGATCCGATTGCCAGCATGATCTCCAAAGAGGCTGCTTTGCTTATTGCCCACGATGCTCGAAAATTCCCTGTTCCTGGTGCTAAGGTAGAGGGCAAAGCACGGAAAGCGGAACGGATTGATGACGCGTTGATAGAAGCAGCTCGCATTGCTATTGCCACCGAAGCAAATTCTGAGGAAAAGAAACCAGAGTGGACAGAGGACTTCGATGCTCAGTGGACAACTGCACATTTGAAGGCTCTTCCAGGTCTCTCCAATTATGCCGACGACGGAGAGGACGAGTACCAACAAGAGCAACGTATGATTAGTGTTTTTGACAATGTGCAAGTCTCTCTTCTTGCCACAGCCGAGAGAGGAAACAAACTCGAGAAGAAGCTTGCGCTGCATTACGGCGGATATCAAAACCGGGCGAAAATGCTACGGAGTAAGATACTTGAAGCCAGCGCTGCTTTGGAGAAGTCAAAGGATGAGCTAGATGCGTTCCGTAACCTACAGATTTCTGAGGAGGCAGCGATTTCCACGAGGCTAGAGAAGCTGCGGGACGATGTGGCTTTTGTCATGAGAAGAGAGCGTGAAGCTCAAGAAGTATACCGGACCCGAAAAGAGGAGCTTGATGAGCTCATTGCAGGGACAGGGGGGATGGTTAATGGATGGCATTAACGCTGAAAATGAGAGGTTAGTACCTGAATCTGTACTTCAAAATGTAATCCAATTATGCCTTCTTCCACATTTGCTGCAAGTCCATACATGGCGTGTCTATCGGGTTTTAGTGGAATGTGTTTTCATACTGTCTTTTTTCTCTTGCGGTAGCTCTATTGTTAGCGCAAGCCTATTTATTAAGGGGATACTCAACACAAACGAAACGAAATGTAAAGGCAGTATTTGCATGCTTAACTGGAAACAATGACTATAGTATGACTGTCACTGTCGGGTTGTAGGGGGCTACCCAAAACGGATAACAAGATGACCACGGATGGGAACCTAAGGCAAACAACCTCAAAGGCGGTCTCTTCCGAGCATCGCAACGGACAATCCTCCATCCCCTCCAATATCGTTCCCCTTCGTTTGCATCGCATATTCCCTCCACGATTATATTTCCATCTGTACAAACCCGCTAGACCGATCGAAAATTACTCCCCTAACGCGATGGGCGTCAGAGATTCCCATGGGGAGGCAACCGCGACGCCGGACCCCGTTGAGAAGGGTTTCGCCACCCTCAACACCATTCGGTATGTCGCTGAATACATCTAAAGAAATTAGTTATAGTGTCTTTGGTATCTATTTCATCGGTCGCATCAACTAATCAGAATGATAGGATCGGTGTTAAGGCTATGGTTCAGAAGGTTAGCAGCTATTCAACCCCTTCAATTTTTATATAATCACGTGATTAAAGCATATATTGAACTATATACTGACATATCGTAGGATGGAGAATTGAGAAAAGCCGAGATCTTGTCTATTAGACAGCGCAAAGATGGCCCAAGCTTTTAGTACGTTTCAGATAGGTATGAAATGTGTCTACACAAAAGTACTAATCAAATTTAGTGTCCATTACGTCGATTTCAATAAGCGTCTCGACGGTAAGTTTGGCATCAATATCTATATTGCAAAATCATACTGAGACGATTATAGAGTGGATTGATTCCACGAGGATTGATTTATCTCACGAGGTTGAATGGCCACAGCCTGAGAAACCAGAGAAGAAGAAAGCAGGTCCTGGTAACAAAGCACCAAGCAAGAATGCTCAGAAGCGTGCAAGAGCTGGAAGCCGCGAGGTTTCGGCAACCCCAGATCTTTTGACGGGCAAGAATACCAATGTTGGCAAAGCACAGCGTCCGTCTAAGGCAGGCGGGAAAGAAAACCGTGATGAGACGCCTGCAAATTTGTCAATCCTAGATTCGGAAGCCATTTCTGCAGATGTGACCCCTAAGCCCGAATCCGATGATGTTGATATGATTGGCGTCAGCTTCACGGACACCAAGGAAGAGCACGAACAAGGTAAAATGTCACGCGAAGAGGAAATCGAACGATTGCGTACCAGCGGGAGTATGACCCAAAATCCTACGGAAATTCATCGCGTGCGTAACTTGAATCGTCTACAAATGGGCAAGTTTGACATTGAGCCCTGGTACTTCTCTCCTTATCCTGCATCGTTTTCAGATGTCGACATGGTCTACATTGATGAGTTTTGCTTGAGTTATTTCGACAATAAACGCGCTTTCGAGCGCCACCGTGCGAAATGCACCCTTGTGCACCCACCTGGAAACGAGATCTACCGAGATGACCATATTTCATTTTTTGAAGTGGACGGTCGACGCCAGCGCACCTGGTGCCGCAATCTTTGCCTTCTTAGCAAGCTCTTCCTTGACCATAAAACACTCTACTACGACGTCGACCCTTTCCTATTCTACTGCATGGCCACTCGGGATGAGACCGGTTGCCATCTGGTGGGCTATTTCTCCAAAGAAAAAGATTCCGCAGAAGGCTATAACCTTGCTTGTATCTTGACTTTGCCACAATACCAGCGTCTCGGCTACGGACGACTGCTTATTTCCTTTAGCTATGAGCTCAGCAAGCGCGAAGGAAAGTTCGGCTCGCCAGAAAAGCCCCTCAGTGACCTGGGTTTGCTAAGTTACCGGCAATACTGGCGAGAAACACTCGTGGAATTACTCATAGAGCCGGGCCGAGAGTCCATGAGTGAGAACGAGCTTGCTGTGCTAACATCGATGACCGAGAAGGATGTCCATGAGACACTGGTCGTGTTCAACATGCTTAGATACCACGTACGTTACTAGGTCCTACCCTTCACCCCGTATGCTCGGAAGAAAATGGCTAACTCGTTGTTATAGAAAGGAAACTGGGTTATTGTCCTCACGGACCAAGTCGTTGAACAACACAATAAGCGCCTCGAGAAAGAGAAAATCAAAGGGTCGCGCAAAATTGACCCTGCTCGTTTACAATGGAAGCCTCCAGTCTTCACAGCTTCAAGCCGAACATGGAATTGGTGAGGCGCAAAAACACCCGATTGAAAAATATCTATACAGGACAATACTTGTTTTCTTCTTCTTTTTTTGGCCTTAAACTTGTACATAATTCACATCTCTTGGTGTCGGGCATTTGTATGATATCATTAGCGCGGGATTGGTCACTTTTTTTTTTCCCCTTTTTTTTTTGGGGAGGGGTTCTGTTTTAGGGGAAATGGCTTGTTTGGATTGGAGGTTATTTAACAACGTCGGGGACTAGATGATATTATAATATACCTAAGCGATCAACCATATGCGGAGTTCGCTCGAATTCCTCTTTCTATATCTAGCAACGAGAAAAGAGTCGATGAACAAGAGAGTGTACCTTACACCGTCTACAATGCCGGACAAAAAATGTACCTGGAGATTTAAACGAGAAATTTAACGGCCTGGCACGATGCTAGATACACGCATGTCGAGTCTCAAGACAGAGCTTCGTACGTCTGTCCCTAGCCTGTCTTTGGCTTCTAACCACGAGAGCAAGGAATACACAGGCTTTGCTTCAAGTGCCAAAGTCTCCTGCATGAGATGTATAGGTAGGTATAGTAGAGCCCGAAACAGGATATCGAAGACAAGTGGGGGAGCAAAACGGGAGTCAGTACATGTCAAACAGCACAGAGCCTAGTCATGGGACGCGAGGAGTAAAGAAAGATGGCTAAGAGGAAGTAGAATGAGAAGAAAGTAAGACAGACTCAAACATCTGAATATCTCTCATACGGACAGTAGGATAAGTCACAGGACTGGTGAGTTGTATGCGGAAGGAAAGGAATTCCCGTCCCACTCAATATGGCGATGTTACTCGGGGCCAGTGTTGATAAGGTAGAAGGAGGAAAAAAATGTACGGTTAGAAAAGATAAGGACATTAAGAAGAGCACTAGAAATTCAAGGCAAAACCAGACCCGTCAATTCCCTACAGGCGTAGCTCATCAATACCGAAATAAGACGCTCAACGAATATCGGAAACCTGGCAAAAGCCAATTCAAGGTTGAAACGTAACTCAAAGAACGGGAGATTATTCCGCAAGGATACTTTCCCACTGCACTCAACGAGACCCGCTATATGTACGTGGGCCCCAGGAAGCATTGCGCGACTGGTGCCGCGGGGAGCCTGTTTCATTGTTTTGTTGGGAAGATGATTTCTTGGAAGTCGAAGCTACAGACCCTTCGCGAGGTTTTGTGTTCTTTCGAGGCTTATAGCTCGAAGTTCCACGCGGCCGGGGGTTCTGGCTTCCTGCCTTCCTCGGGAGGGCCACCGTTTTCGCAATAATTGTACCTGGGAAACGGATTGAAACCCGTAAATTTCCTGAGCCATCTTTATCATGAAAACCAAATGAATAAGGTTCAACGCTATGAACCTGCATTAGCTTCAGATGCTTAGCTCGTAGTCTCGACTGCGAAGGTGGTGGCGCCGCCTGCCAAGCTGCAGGGGGAGCCCTGGTAGGTACTCGAACAACAGGTAGAGACCCTACTTCACGGTCCTCAAAAATTTCTTCAGTTTCTTCAACCTGCTTAGCAGTTATCTCGCCGTCTCCTATTGGTTGCTCGCCATGTTGGGGAAGTGAGACTGAAACTGCGGCGATATGCAATACGTCCAGGGGTTCTTTGGATGCAGACGTCACGGCCAAGGCAGTCTTCCTCTCAGGCACTGTCTTCTTGCCAAATAGGGTGTTAATTTTCTCCTGCCATGAAGTAGCAGTAGAGACAGGAGGGCGGGGCGGCGCAGCAGCCATAGATGCGAAGGTAGGAGGAGGTTGTGGTGGAGCGATGAGTTTTGGAGGAAGTTTGACAATGGGCCTTGGTGCAGGAAGGTGTACCAAAGGTTTGTTGGTATTGCCTGTGAACACCGGATGAGTTGACATTTCTTCTGGTGGTGGTGGTGAGGGGCTGCGAATAAAATCGCCTTCCGCAAAAGGTGGCTTCTTGTACTGCTCGGATGCCTGTGGGAAGAACCGTGAACTTCGAACTGGAACGCTGCCGAGAGGGCGTGAATTGGCCTCTGTAAATGGAAGAGGACCAACAGGATGATCCAACCCTGGGAGAGGGTTGGGTGGAATCGCTGCGTTGGCATCTGCTGTTCTAGATATACCAACGACCTGTCTTTGCCCGGCTTGGTCTCCAGTCCGTACCTGCCGCCAAGTCTCGTTGAAAGTTACTTGTAGAGAAGATGGTCCCTCGCGCGTAGCGTTCATCTCATTGCGAAGTTTATCATTTTCTTCTGCTTCGCGCTTGGCAGCAACTGTATGGAAATTGTTCCAGGCAACGGTCCCTGCGACACGGTTGTCATGTTGCCATTGATGTTGCGAACTAGGAGGTCCGATAGGACCAGGACGGGCGATGGGATTTAAAGACTCGTATGGTGCGTGTCTAGCTTTAGGGGACGCTATGGGGGATATTGGTGTACTTTCTTGAGGCGAGCGCGAAGGTGTAGAGAACGACTGTGATCCTGGGGCGACAGGGGGCTGATCCAAAACAAGAGGGTTACGCAGAGGAACATCTCTCCCTGGAGGAAACCCTGGAAGACTCTGTTCAAATATGCCATTACCCAAAGTCTTGTCACTGCTAAGAGGTTTCCAAGGGTTCGCTATGGAAGGAGAGGTCCCGACTAATTTGGCATTGGGAGCCCACGGTGGGTACGAACTAGAAGCATTGAGGCCACCCCTCCACTGGGTTGATTGCTCATCGAGCTTGTTCTCTGACAGTTTTTCAGGCGTTTGTTTTTGAGAGTCACCAGGCTGTTGGAGTCCATTCGTTGTGGTAGTATCCGGTTTAGGTTCCCGGGGAGGTGAAGGGGCGCGCCGGGCATTGGCCGTCGGTGAGGACTTTTCGGCAGCTCTTTCCACTAATTTTCTCACAGTGTCGGGATGATGAACCTTCATCATTCCATATTGCTTTGGCTCTCCCGAGGGTTCCGGAACCGGGGGTTTGGGAGGGGACAACGATGTGTGAGTAACACCAGGTGAGGGAATCGTGTCAGGCTTACTACCTTCCAGAGTGTCCTTGCGCTGTGCCTTGGGCTTTTCGGGAGGTGGACCAAGAGCTTCGAGCTTTTGCCGGATCCTTTCTCGTTTGGCAGCTTCCTCCTTTTCTTCTTGCTCTATTCTTCGCTGCCGAGCCTCCATTCTCTTTTCTTTCATAATCCGTTCTTGCATGACAACTGGATCTTCCTGGGGCGCTTGCGGGGTCGCAGTTTGGTTAACAGCATGAGGAACATATGGCTGACTCGTGCCATCAGGTGCACCCTCTTGTACACCGGCTGCACCGCGTTGAGTCCAGGAATGACCGGGGCCACGTCGAGCAGGAGAAGGTTCTCGCAAAGGCGTCTCCTGTTGAGGTACCAAGCCTGGCAACGGGGGCTCAACCATACCGTTGGCCTGCGACCCTCTTCTAATTTCAAATGGCCGTTGGGTTGCGTCAGTTCGACCAATCGACATCCGACGTGCAAAGCTGCCACTTCCTCCACTGACGTTAGATGAAGTGCGTCGACGTGTCCAGTGAATGCCATCCTGTCCACTTGACCTATGTGTCTGAAACGCGGGTGAAGGCTCCGCAGGTCCTGCCTGTTCACCCGGCACTGACCGCTGCAACACGGATGGGGTGCGGAAGCTCTGTTCAGTGCGCCAGGATCCTTTCCTAGTTTCAGATACTGGCTCATAACGACCCGACCGGGAGTTGTATAGCTCACGGATACCAGACTGCGAGTCCTTCCATGACCGATTGAAATCGTCCGCAGCTATCTCCTTCGGATGAGTAACACCGCTATAACGGTCGATTGGAAGTGGTTCTCTGGACGAAGTATGTACCTGAGGTTGAACTTGCACAGGAGGTATAACAGGAGATATTTTCTCAACTGGTGGAAGAGGAGCCCATGGTGACTTCGCTGGGGGTGGTGCCGGACTTGTAGAGAGTGACGGCGACTTCTCGTTAGTGCCTTTAGAAGAAATGCTTGCGCTCTTTGCCTGCCTTTCCGCATTTGCTCCCAGCCTAAGAACAGTGGGGTTCGGTCCAACCGAAGTCGTAGGCTTTGGGACAAATTTGGTAGCCTCTTTAATAGCGGGAACTTGCTCGGGGCGTGGAGGCGGAAAGTCATTTTTGGGTTCCATCGACGGCTTGTTCTCTTGCTTTGTTGCCGCAGTGTGTTCCACTTGGGACAGATTTGTCTTCGTTCCGTCAGTCCATTCAATTGTTTCCGGCGCCCAGTCGTCTTCATCATCATCAATATCGGCCCACTTTGCCTCTGTTCCACCGCCATCTTCTTGAATACGCGACGTCATGTGGATTCCATACTGCTGCTTAAGCTCTTCGTCCGTCAAGTGTTTCGGCGGAGTCTGCTGGATCGCTAGACACAATTCAAAATTAGCGGAGACTTCAAGAGTCAATCATTACTGCCTTACGTCGATTCTTATTCCAGACTTGATTTGGGTCGGGCCCACTTCCAGCTGGCCTCGCCGCACTCGTCCCTGTTTTCGATAATGAATCGCGTAGACTGCTAGTAGTTTTCGCGACCAAGCGTGGTCGTGAGCTTTGCAACGGTACACCCAGCGGGGTGGTTGAAGACGGAGCTAAGACCGGTTAGACTTCTATTTGGCGTGACACCTTGTACGGACAAATACCTTTCTCGGCAATCTTAGCTGTCGAAGGCGTTCCTGGAGCTTTGGGTACTGAAAACTTTGCGAAGGAGACTGGCTTGAATGATGTCGGCCTCTTTGTTGAACTTGCACGCGAGTTAAGTCTGCTCTCCGTTCGACTGGCGTCGGATTCTGAGCCACCTTGGGAAGCCGTATCCTCTCCAAAATCAGAACCTGATGCTACTCCATTTAATTCAAGCGCCCTTGTCGCCACTGGCCCAGGCCCTTGCCTTGAAATATCCTATGTCTGATTCAGCAGGGGGACATTATAATGCCCAGGTAACCAAGACTCACGGTCGTCGATTGTTCCGTATCCTTCCCAGTAGCATTCTTTTCACTGTATGTCTCAGATAAACTCGTATCATGCGTACCTTGTTCGGCGTTCGTGATTGTTTCGAGCTGCGTAGTTGTTGCGGTATATTTGATCTCCCCCACGTCCCCTCCGGCAGGTTTCTTGTCGTTGGTGCTCGCAGGAACGTCGGAAGGCGAAGGCTCGCCGCCCGACAGGGTTTGATTTACCACATCGTGGCTGCTCTTCTCTGCCATAACAATTCTCGAGTCTGTGAGGCCAACAGGTTGCGACATCTGTTAGACAAGCGTTCTGAAACTGTAAACACTGAAACAAGTGGCGACTATAAGGTTGAACTCATGGCTAAACTTGAAGGAACGGTCTGAGAAGTACCTATTGTCAGGTATCGAGAATCGCCACGGTCGAACTATTCGCTCAACTGCCTGAGCCGTGAAAAGCTCCAAACGACCAGGTGGACAGCGGAGAATGTCGTAGGTAGAGAACAAGAGATGAAGCTCGGCGAAACAAGGTCGGGCGGGCGGGAAATTCTAGTGGAAGAGTGAGAGCAAGCAGCCCAGTTAGTCCCCAAAGGGAAGTTCAACAGTAAAGTGGTGCTTCTCAGGTTGATGTGATCGGGTGATGGCAGCAGTCATGGACGGATGGGCGGTTCAGGTTGAGACTAAGGGTGGCTGTTTTCGGTTAGCGTGGGACAAGTGAAGTACTCCATAAAGCAAACCTTTGTGGCTGGACCTGTTGCGGCCGATATGCACTCACATTCACTTCGTTAGTATGCCGTTGTTTTCTTATTACAGGTAGTGATATTGAGAACTATTGAAATAGTGGATACGTGATAATTTATTTTTATATTTTTGGTCTTCTTCTTTTGGGGCTAGATTTCGTTTCTTCCTTTCAATTTTAGTTTATTATACTTTTGTCACTAACACCATTTTATAGCATGACTAAAGATCGTTCCATGAAGTAGCGCAAGATGATTCATTGTTATTTTAGTCATCCGATGTATGACACACTTTAAATGATCTGGAGACAATGATGAGTCACTACTAACTAGGAATCTGTGAAACATAATAAGCTTGAATGTGTTCTACATTGCCTTCATTCTAGGTCAGCGGTATATACACGAATCTTCCGCGCCCCTCAAGTCATAGCGAGAAAATTTAGTGGGGGTGGTTCTTGTGGTGACCTAGAAATGTGTTAGATTCTCGACGTCTATATTATGGTATTGAAAGGGAAGCATACGGAGGTGGAAGTAGTACTCCATGCTGTAGCCGAGGAGGAGAATACCACCGATGGCGTGAGCGAGGGCTATATGATTATCAGCGCATGCTATGTATACTTTTAGGAACGTGAGTGTCTACTTACGAGCAGCAGAGGGGTTCTTGCCGAAGTAACGAGCCTGGTAGCGGCCAATAAGACCGGTAGGCTTAACTTCAGGGGCCGAGCCACGGGGAAGGCGGGCATAGAAGTTCACAACGCGGTCCATACGGGCAGCATCCTTGGCAGCACCAATCGCCTTTCCAAGTGTCAGTGTAATACAGTAATGAGAGGGAGAAACCGTATGCTACGGTGTCCCGAGCCGCATTGAAAAAAGAAATTGTTCCGAGCGGAGCGACTTCAGTGGCTGTCGGGGAGCATGACGGTAGGGGAAGGGGATCTCACGTTAGGAGAGGCAATCTACAGACGAGTCAATATCGATTGTTCAGAAGATTTCCATCGGTTCTGTTCTCTTCGTGGGTTCTTCTTACCTTGGGAGGGATCAGGGTCGAAAGACCTCGGCGAGTGATGTAGCTCATCTTGTGTGACTAAGTCGGGTTAGAAAGCTTTGAAATTCACGCCAATAAAGATTTAGATAGACGGTATCCATCTCATGGACATCTCTCTTACCTTGATACAAGCAAGTGGACTGAGATGATGGCTAATGGCAGAGAGAAGGAAGTGCCAACAGAAAGCGGGTTGTCGGATGAGCGGTTCCTAACGCAGGGAGCCTCATGTTGCGCTAACCGGATTTGGAATCGTCTTTAACGACCGGCAACTTGCCGCATACCTCACCTGGCGATTGCACTTCCTCAGCCTCTTGTTCTGTCCAGCCAACGAGGGACACAATTGCCATAATGTCACTTTTCAGAGCAGGAAATCTCGCCTGCTTCCGAGCTGGCAGGCTTGCTGCGCCTATCAATGCCCGTTTCCTGTCCACCAACACCGGCCAAGGCGACCCTTCCGTGAAAACCAGCCCTGCTGATGCCCCGGCGGTGCCTCCCAAGGACAGCTCGTTAATCCGCCAGGAGAGCCCTGCTGAGGCAATGGCTCGCCACCAACCGGATTACGAGGCCACAATTGATCACGGCACCTCGTAAGGGACTCTACATAACGCCAGGAGCGATTTGGCTGACAGAGACGTAGGAAATTCTCCCCAGTGCCCAAGCGTGTCATGGATGGAAGCGAGCCCGGCGACACCGTCCCTGCTGCTGTTCTTTCTGGTGCTCCTACCGACCTCCAGGCTCGTACTGTCAGGTATAGATGCAAACTTCGAACATCCATTTCAAACGCTAATTATGTCATTTAGGATCTACCGCCCCTCGAAGCCCGCCACACAATCTGGTACCTGGCATCAGCACCACTGGAGGATGGATTGGGATGTGTTACAGAAGGGCCACCGCTGGGAGAACCCTCTGATGGGTTGGCAATCGTCTGCTGATAATATGCAGGGTACTAATCTGAAATTCAAGTCCAAGGAAGATGCCATTATGTTCGCTCAGAAGCAAGGCTATGAGTATTTTGTTCAGGAGCCAAATGAGCGCAGATTTGTTCCTAAGGCTTATGCGAACAACTTCGTTCACGAACCGAAGAAGATCAAGCACATCAGGACCAAATAATCGATTACATCAAGTGTATCTTGTACATAACTCCAGACTTTTTACTCTTTCGCAATTGTTTCTCAGGTTTTCTATAACTCTTTAATGTGTTTCCAATGCCCATATACCGAAGGCTTAGTTCCCCACGATCCAGGGCAGTACGGTTCACTGGGCAGGGGAGCACGTACTTGTAGTTCTTCCTGGATCGATTTCGGTTGGTGCTACTCCCAATGATCGAGAAAGCTATCTAGCCAGGTCTTCCCAAGAATTTCATGGCTACTGGCGTTTTGTATTAGCTCGATTGAGGAACGCCGTTCGCTTTACCTATAAACATAGCAGGGAAGCTCGTTAGCGTCAAGAGAAAGCGAGCATTCACCAGCACGTCTTTATTTTGGGGGGGGGAGGTTTCCTTAAAGGGAAAATGTTCTTCTGTTCCATCAGATCTGCGGATGACGTAGTGTGTGTGTGTGTGTGTGCATATAACTGCCTCATAAGATAGACTTTTCTATATGGATTCACCCAATGCAAATGTCTTACAAGATTATCTGACATACTTATGTACGAATTGCACTTCCTCGTAAGCATTATAACAGACAACATTTCGCTATACCAAACATGTGAACTCTGGCCATACTCCTGAACTAAAAAAAAAAAAAAAGACGGGGAAAAAAATTTGAGTCCCTCGTGACCATAATTATCTCAAGTTGTCTCTATATTGCAAATCCATCATGATTTAGTCAAAGAAAGGGTACACAATGTATATGTTGTAGTCTCCCCTTAGACACCATACAAAGATAGGTAAATTCCCAAGCTCCACATCGATGACCTACAAACTCTGCAAAAAACATTTGCCTAGAATTCCGGGAAAGAATGAAACTCTTGCAAGTTCCGGTACTAAGTCTCAAGTTAGAGAAGATCTTAAAGTACCTGACCTTTTCCCTTTTTTTTTTCAGGTCTAGTTGCGGCTGGACAACCCCGCCACCCCACCTAAAATTTATTATCTGGTGAAGATAAGATCGAAAATTTACAGTTACTCACTCGGTGATCCAACACTTTCTTTTACCATCGGAATATCTTGAAAATACACAGACTAGATATATAATGGCATCTACTGCAGTTGATCATCCTGAGGGAGTGGATGAGACCATCCTGACTCTTCGCAAAGTTCTTGTCAATGAGTCTGAGCCGCTTGCTCGCCGATTCCGCGCCCTGTTCTCCTTGAAATACATTGCTTGTTTGCACCCGCCGACCGAGAAGACACTGCCTGCGATCCAGGCCATCGCAGCGGGATTTACATCGTCATCGGCCTTACTGAAGCATGAGCTCGCATACTGCTTGGGTCAGACTCGTAATCCAGATGCAGTCTCATACTTGCTGGAAGTGGTGAAGAACACTGAACAAGATGCAATGTGTCGCCATGAAGCCGCAGAGGGTCTTGGTGCTCTGGGGTTTGACACCAGTCTGGATGTCTTGAAAGCTTTGCGGGATGATGAAAAAGAAGAGGATGTCATTAGAGAGACATGTGATATCGCCGTCGACAGAATTCTCTGGGAGAATTCGGAAGAGAGGAAGAGCGAGAAACTGAAGCCTAGGTACTACAACCGTTTCTATACCCCTATCTCCGCAAACTTTTCTTCTGGGGAAATTCTTCTAATTGTATTCTTTCTTCAATGCAGTGATTTTACCTCGATTGACCCAGCCCCACCACTCCCAATGGCGTCCAGCCAGCCTTCTATTTCCGACTTGGAAAAAACATTGCTCGACACAAAGCTCCCTTTGTTCCAAAGATACCGCGCTATGTTTGCTCTGCGCGACCTTGCCTCGCCCCCCGATCTTCCTACAGCTGTCGAAGCTGTTGAAGCATTGGCTAAAGGACTCAAGGATCCGTCTGCTCTCTTCCGCCATGAAATTGCCTTTGTGTTCGGTCAGCTCTGCCACCCGGCGTCTGTTCCTAGTCTCACAGAAACCCTCAGCGACCAGAAAGAAATGGGTATGGTAAGACACGAGGCTGCTGAGGCTCTTGGTAGCTTGGGTGATGTTGAAGGTGTGGAGGACACCCTAAAGAAGTTCCTCAACGACCCAGAGCAGGTGGTGAGAGACAGCATTATCGTGGCTCTAGATATGGCGGAGTATGAGAAGAACGGGGAGATGGAGTATGCGTTGGTGCCGGATTCAGCAGCCCCGGCTGCTGTATCTGCTGCTTGATAGATTTTCGGCAAACTAAAAAAGATTATAGTGGCTTAATTGATACTCGCTTCATAGATGTACAGCCGCGAACCCAAAATAGAAATCTTTTCCGATGTTTAGTTGTTTTGTGTCTCCCTATAAATCGAATATTAGCATCATGCGTGAATGACCATAACAGCAAATGGACGTAGAGTCACATACTTGTAACCACAAACGCAAGTGTAAAAGACCGTGCTTCCTTCGTCTGCACTGCGCAATTGCACGGTTGTGAAGTACATCTCTTTCCTGCCACATCTCGCGCAAGTATGTTGTGTAAGAGCTTCTGTCCTTTTATCTGCAGCTGTCAAGTTCTGGACTGCAGATCGTTTTGCCCTCAGTGTCGAAGGGAAAGCACTCGCTTTGGATTCAGAAACGATAGTTTTAGGGACAATGTCTGAAAGGAAAGTGAGATTAATATGAGCCAGGCAGAGCCTTCTCGGAGTGAAATGAATTTACCTCGATTACGAGCTCCGCAGATGCTGCAGACGATGAGTTTCGTAGGGTCACCAGACGACTCATCTAATAAATTTCCGCAGTCATTGCAGAATATCAAGGACCCAATTGCAGACATTTTGACAAGTGGTGACTTTAAATAAACCTGTAGTTGGGGGGGGGTATCTGGAGCAATTAGTTAGTACTACTTTTTTTTTTCTTAGGCTGGTTGGCTGTCGGAAAGAATTCCCAGAGCACGGGCCACTTCGAAATGGACATACATGATTAGTGCCGGGCGGTCAGAAACGGCAGCGGCAAGAGACCCGTGCCTGGCATGATAATAATTATTACATTGTTTTTATCGTGAAGTATCTCAAGAAGACAAGATATCGGACGGGGATGGAATTTGAGTCTTTTGCTTGAAAGCCATGTCTCCAGTAGGAGCATGTCATTTCCTTCTTTTCAAATCGCCTGGGTCCTCAACTCCAATCCTCCCTTAACGAAAACCCCAGTTCATCATGGACCGCAACTGGCATCCGGCCGTTCAGGTCGTCATCAATGGCCACCCTCAAGCGCAGGCTCACACTTCTGGTGGGCCACCACAGCGCCGGGACAAGCCATTATCTGTGGAAGAGGCTTTGCAGTACTCACCCATGTCCAGTTCTCCGATATTCGGCCTAGGTGATTTGATATGGAACCTAATGGGACATGGTAACCGCTAGCTGATACACGATTCTTTGTAGATTGCATACTGCGTCCTGATGTTGGCCGACCCCCTAATACTACCTCTATCAACCATATCCTTCAATCCGGCCGTACTACTTTGACCGAACTCAATGGCGAAGTTTCGTCTGGGCGCGATGAGTCGAGCCTGTTAGAGACATCTCGAGAATATCTGCAACAGTTGCTGGATGGTGACCAGTTAACTGAGTTGTAAGCGGCTCCCATACCTCTCAATTACGACATAAAACTCATAATCCCTCAGCAAATTCAAAATTCCTATAACCTCTCGTAATGATCAGCATTCCCTCCCCACTACTTCCAGCGAACATACTTCCAGTCGCAGCAATCTGGGCTCATTCACGAGGATGATGCTGGAATCGACAGATATAGCATTTCGCTGTAAGGTTGGACTATTCTAACCACTTCGTTGATAGACTGACATGTCACAGACCCCACGCCATCACAAGCCGAGGATGAGAAACGCTCTCAAAAGGCTATTTCCTGGAATTCGAAAGCCCATGCAGCAATCAAGTCGACACCTGCATCCTACAATCAACATAATCATATGTCGAGCAACTTATCTGTAGTAATTCCAATCAAACCGATACCTCCCGATGTTGATGACCGTGCTGTTTCAAAGCGGAGGAAGCTCAATATTGATGGGGACGATAACATT